AAAGCCGTTTGCTGAAAAACAAACTTTACATTTAGACTCTGCTCTTGACTGATATACTGCTGTAAGGCCCTTGTAGTGGACATTGTGGTTATAATTAACTCACGACATACGTTCTATCCCAGACTATCATCACCAATTGTGGCAGTTTTTTCCCTTGCCAATAATTAGCTCAGAAATCAGAATGTGACTCAAATTCATAAATTAAAAGTAATGAAAGGTCAACTGATGGCTCTAAGAAAAGTTTTCTCTCCAATGAAAGCAGCAAGAAGAGATAGTTTGTATTCTTCCTTTGCCAGAACAGATTTGAGGGACACTGGAACCATCTTCCTTAAGCACCTGATTATAATGCCAGTACCCAGGATCACAGAGCAGCTCCTGGAAATGGAGGTGCTGCTGACAGCTCTGTTAACCAGCTCTGGATCACCTGCCCTGCAGTGGACTTCCTTTACATAATATAGAGCAGGGTGTCCCCCAAAGTCACTGTACACAGGAAAAATGGGAAATTGTAGCTAAATGTATCTTTATTTACAAAATATTTATCACAAAATGTTACCAAGAGGTGGCCAATATGCAGAGAATATTTTATAAAAATCGTGTAATGATTATTGTGTAAATAAAGGTTGTCTGCATATTGGCCACCTCTTGGTAACATTTTGTAATAAATATTTTGTAAATATAGATACATTTAGCTCAATTTCCCATTTTTCCTGTGTATGGTAACTTTTGAAGACACCTTGCATTATATTCATTTTTTTACTTCTTTTCTCTCTTCGCACTAGAATGTAATCTGTATAAAGCAAAGACACTGCGTTGTCTATGGCCGTCATCTCCAAAGCCTAGATTAGTAGCTGGTGCACAGTAGGAACTCAATTAATAAGGTTTGTCAAATGAAGAAGTTAGCACTAAACTTTGGCATGTTAAAGATAGCTTGAATCAAAGTTTTCTGTTCTTTGTAGCTGAAACCATACTCACTGATTAAATATAAAAAAACTTTTCCATGTCTTGAAAAAAAATAACTGTTAGTTTTGTTTTTTTTTTTTTTTTTTTTTTTTAGAGACAGAGTCTCACTTTATTGCCCTTGGTAGGGTGCTATGGAGTCACAGCTCATAGCAACCTCCAACTCCTGGGCTTAGGTGATTCTCCTGCCTCAGCCTCCCGAGTAGCTGGGACTACAGGTGCCCGCCACAACACCCAGTTATTTTTTGTTGCAGTTTGGCCAGGGCCAGGTTTGAATCTGCCACCCTCAGTATATGGGGCTGGCGCCCTACTAACGGAGCCACAGGCACCACCCATAAGTGTTAGTTTTGAAGAGTTGACTTGTGGCACAGCAATAGAACTTAATCTCTTACCTATCTCAGCTGTTTCAGAGATATTGGGAGCTGAGAAGAACTGATGTCAAAGTGTCAGTGGGTATCTTCAAGGTGCTTAGTGATTGTGAAAGTTCTATATAGTTTTACACCTTTGTACACTACCCTTTGTCTCTCTGGGAGATATTTAACTGGACATTGTCATCTTGCTGTTGTGTAACTTCTATGTCTCTGATCTGGAAGGCAGGAGAGTTAACGCAAATGGAGAAGGAAGAGATTAGAGCTTATCTGCCCCTCTGTTCATCCTCCATAGACAATATACGTGAATACTGGTAGTATATCAACAGATATTTTGAAAAACATTGTTTTTAAATTCCAGTTTCTATTTTTGTTAGAGTACACCTAAAGAAGTGTCTTAAAGTCATAATAATTTCATAAATATTTTTATTATAAGCTGAGTAGAATGGTAAATGAGTTTCAGGGAAGTTAAACACCAATAAGCCAATTTTCCCACTACTGTGTTTTATAAATATTTCATATGTGGAAAACAGACACGAAACCTGGAAAGCTCACCGAATCAAGATGGAAAACTCACCACTTCCCTCCTCAAAGCTCAAGATTATTGTTCATCTGAAACATTCTCAAAGAAATATTTATCTGGACTATGGACAGCAGAAATCCAAAGCAAACAACTGTTACTATGTTCTTTGTCTGGAAAATGTGTAGGTTGTGGGGAGGTAGTTGCTCAGTTTCTTGTTACTGCTATTACGTTGCCACAGTTTGGTAGCTTAAACAATACAAGTTTGTTACTTTACCATTCTATAATCCGCGTTCCTCTAACTGACGAAAACCAAGGTGTCAGCAGGATTCTGTTTATTTCTGTCGTCTCCAGGGGAGAGCTCAGGCCCTTGCCTTTCCCAGTTTACCTGTGTTCTTGGGCTCAAGGCCCCCTTCCTCCAATTTGGAAGCCTATGGGATGAATTCCCACATAAAACTAACTAAATGAAATGTGCTCTTTTAATTCCAGAAATTGAGTGGAAGGACTTGTGAGTTTTGTGCATCTTTGTTGAGGCCTAGCGACCTAGGAGAGCATGGTGTGGGCCTGCAGGCAAGGCGTAACAGCCTCCTACATGGAACCCCAACTGTGCAGTCAGTCAGCCTGCCAGATAAGGGTTCAGATGGCCCATCTGTGCAGGGGACATCACTCAAAGGTTGATGTGAGTGAAGGAACACTCCATCCTAATAGTGGGGGTGGGGGGTGGGGGAGGGGCTCCAAAGCCACAAGAAAACAGAGTCATCAAGTCTGTTTCTCAAAAACTTAATTGAGTACATAGAAGAAAAAAAGTTTTGCTCCCCTGTTGGTCCTGACCTTTAACTTTGACAATAGAAGTCAGATAATGTAGGGTTGTTTTAGGTCTTTAGAGGGGAATAGCCTGAGGCTAGTCTTAGGATGGTTATCTTACTTTCCTGGACTTTCTGTCTTGTCTATAGTTTAAGATAAGAATAGAGGATGTTAGGATTATTGATCAATGTGGTGTATGTGACTAGCTCCCAATAAAAAGGGAGTAGAGAATAAAGGAAATTTGCTACGCCACCCAGAGTAATAGTCATTTCTTGCTTTCATACAATTCCAAAGGCAAGCTTGCATCCACCACCAAGCTGTCCTTCTCTCCCCATGAGAAATCACCACCCAACAGAAGCCAGCACTGGAAGGCCCTTCCTCTTCACACTTCCATCGCATTCTTCTCTGATATAGTCACAACTCCTTCTGATGGAAGAGGCAAAGGTCCTCTTAACTTCCAAGGACTCATGACTAGATCATCTCCACGTGGATGGTCCAGGCTAATCTCTCTGTCACAAGGTCCCTTTTGCTATGTGAGGTGATACATTCACAGATTCCAGGAGCTGGGGTGGGTGCACCTTTAACAGGGCATTATTCTGCCTCCTGTAGTAATAAGGAATTAATGATCCATTTTTAATTGTATTGTTGAAAAGATCAAAAAGACAAAAAGAAAGTGGGAATATATTAAAAAACCTCCAACTAAGAATCTTGATGTGCTCTTTGCAAGTGAAACTTTGTTAAGAAAAAAACCCAATCATTGAATATGCTTATTTTGCTCCTCAAAATGTCAGACATCATCATTTTACTATTCATGCTTCATTTTCTCTTATATCAGATTTCTAGCTCATAAAACACATCTGTTATTTTCAGCATAACAAAGAAAGAAAGTGAGAAGCATCATGCACAGCTGAGGCTTGCCTTTCGGGGGTTAAACATAAACTGTGCCCCTCAGATGCTCCACATCCCAGAGCGGAGGCAGAAAGAGACCAAAATTCCTTTTGCCTCAAATAATTTTCTTTGTCTATTATAAATCTGCTCATTTTGCAAAATCCTTATCACATGCTCTCTTCTCCTTGAAAATCCTGTGATCATTTTAGCTGAAGAAAATATCTAGTTATGATATTTTTATCTACATTTTTCTTAAGGAATCCATTTTATATGAACTTGTAATGCTGTTATTTCTACTTGTAAACATATTATCTCCCCCACTAGAAATTGGAGAATCTTTCTTTTTGAACATCTTGGAAAAGTAAGTGCATCAAAATACATACTAACTGAATTTTTAAACCAATATTATATCTTTCAATAAAGGAAAAAGAGGACTCTGTGAAATTATGTTTATTTTTTCCCTAACAGAAATTAAATTCACAGAAACTTAACATCAAGAAAGCAATTCCATTTTTAGGAGTAAACCACAATTCAGTGGTGACCCTGTATCATAAACTCAGAGCCTAGCTGAAAAAAAGTAGTGAAAAAATGTATCAAATACATTTTTGTATTTGAGGTTAAAAATAGGAGTAAGTGAAACTTCTACAGATTTAATCAAGGGTTCAAGGGAGTCTCAAAATATATAGCAAAGGCTGAGAAAATCCTAATCAATTGCTTTTTATAAAAAATAAGATCTATGGTGTGGCTGGGCAACAAGAATCTCTCTAGATGCACAGAGTATCAGAACAATTAGACGAAAGGAGAAGCTGTATGGGCACATTATTTTTCAATAAAGACACCTGGCAATCAATGAATTTGCCTAGTGATCAATAGTGTATGCTAAGTAAGTCACTTGTAGGGAGATGCAGTTTAAATCTCCATACAGAAAGAGATGAGCAGCAGCATGACTCAAACACAACAGACGTAGCAAATTTCACAAGAAAATACTGAGCTGAGACCTTTCACGACCAAATTCACTACCTCCACCCCCGCCGCTCCAACATGCAATTTCTTCAGCAAACGCTTGAATCAGGCATAACTTCCTCATTTAATAGATTAGAATAGTCAGGAAGTGATGGTTATAGATACCAAAAACAAAAGAACAAAAAGAAGAAGGATACAAAAAACAGGGTGAAAAAATTATGCAACCAAAGCAGCAGGAATTTTGGACCCAATATTTGCTCTAAAGCTCTAAGGAACAGAAGAAACCATGGTCTCATTGAAAAGCCTCTTCAAAAAGCTGCATGAATCACACAAAAAGCTACCTAATTAGAGAAGGATATGATCAAAATGAAGGTGGCAGATCTCAGGAAAAAGAAAAACAACATAAAAAAAATACACATTATACTTATAAATGAAAAGATACGTAAGAAATACATTCATGAACATGAAGACCACATTTGAGAAAAACCAAGAAAAAAAGTGTGTCCACTTTGGGAGCACCAATACTAAAATTAGAACAATACAGAGAAGGTTGGCATGTCCCCTGAGCAAGGATGACACACAAATTTTGTGAAGCCTTCCATATTAAAAAAAAGAAAGAAAAGAAAAAAACAGAGATGTAACTCAGACATAAACATTACTGGCAAGAAATTATGAATAGGGACTCAAAAGGGAACTTAAAATTGCATGGAATTGTTTCTGAATCAGAACAAAATGTATTAAAAGAGAAAATATGTAAACATAAAATAAAACTTTAAAACAACTGATTCTTCTGTTTGCAAAGAAAAATCTGTGTCTTTTGCAGGTTGATTGTATGTCTCCATAAGGTTGTATTTGCCTTATGAGGGTAGAGATGTCGTCCTTGTCATGCTCGGAGTGCCTAGAACAGTGCCTGATGAGAAAGAAATCACTTAATAGACATTAGTCAAATGTATGAGTAATGAATTGAATACAAACGTGAGTGAATTAAAGGCTGACTTGGAAAGAATCCACACTGAGCTGGAAGTCCAGTAAAGACGTTTTATTTAAGAAAACTCACCGACAAGGCTCAACTTATACATCTCCACAAGGGCATTCATCATAACAAGAACAACAAAAATATACATAAACCACGACGGTCTACTTAGTTGCCTTGCAATAGAAAAACTGCTCTGCCATGTAAAACTGTGGGGATCGTAGCATAACAGTATTTCTAGAAAAAAAAAATGTGATCATTAAATCTATCAGGTTAGAGATGAACCAAAATATTTAATTCAGAATGTAAGTACTAGTAGTGGTAGCAAAAAGCAGAGAATGAGCCTCACATCACATGCATACAAGATTCAGGGCAGGCTGCAGTGTGGACCTCCATTGAGAACCACCAGAGAGTTGGAACAAAGTATCAGAAGGCCGTACAGTTAACGCGCCAAGGAAGAATCACGGGGCATCTTAAGCACTTTTTAGTCAAATGTAACACTTCAATGAGTGGCCTTATGGTCACATGACAGATTGTAAATATTATAATTTCAATAAAAAATAGGGAAAGAGCATAGATAAACATTTAATTTAAAAAAGATATTTAGACAGAATTTTGAACATCTCATTCATAATTAAATTCGAAACTGCATTTTCAACACATCAGACTGTCAAAGATTAAAATCTTTTAAACTTTATTTTGGCTCGCATACAGCAGAAACAGCCATTCTCATACACTGTAGATAGAAGAGGGGAAATTAGGAAAAGCAGTTTAATAAGGAGGGCCATTTGGAGCTATCTGTCAAATATTCAAAAGGCCATGTCACAGGCTCAGAATTGCATTTCTAGGTCTATAGACGCTGTTTATTATAATGTTAGAAAACATAAAGCCCTCGGGGAAAACAGCAAGTTTTGGGGTAGAGAATGACTGGCTCTGCTATTTTTCATTAGATGGTTAGAAATATCCAGTCTGAAGAGCTGACACTTGGGCAGAAAGCCAAGTAATGAGGAAGGAGCCGTGATGATACTTGAGGGAAGGCTTTCCAGGACGAGGGTGGGATGGAGGAAAAGCCTGAGGCAAGGCCCAGGAGGCCCTGCAGCCAGAGCATGGGGGATGTGCTTCTAAACCAGTCAGGGTTATCCAGAGAAAGAGGGAGGTAATAAGACAAACTCAGACACACACACACACAGAGGCAGAGAGGGACAATGTGCTGATTTGATAAACAGCGCAGAATGCTTATATAGAACTGATTAGCACAACCATCAGCTTGCTTACTTATTTGTTGTGGTAAGACATTTATACTCTATTCTTAATAGTTTTGAAATGTACCATTGCATCATGCACTTTAGGTGAGATCCCACCAAATACCCTCCTGCCTCCCGGCATCCCCCCCTCCTTGTTCCTCCCTCCTTCTTTCTGGACTATAGTTATGTTTTACCATTCATACGACTGTGTAGGTGGTTATATATTGATTTCATAGTAGTATTGAGTACATTGGATGCTTTTTCTTCCATTCTTGAGATACTTTACTAAGAAGAATATGTTCCAGCTCCATCCAGGTAAACATAAAAGATGTGAAGTCTCCATATTTTTATGGCTGCATAATATTCCATGGTGTACATATACCACAATTTGTTAATCTATTCATAGGTTGATGGGTACTTGGGCTGCTTCCATGACTTGACAATTATCAGTTGGGCTGCAATAAATATTCTGGTACAAATGTCTCTGTTCTAAAATGATTTTTGATCATCTGGGTATATACCTAGTAGAGGAATTGCAGGATTGAATGGTAGGTCTACTTTTAGTTCCTTGAGTATTCTTCAAACTTCTTTCCAAAAAGGCTGTATTAGATTGCATTCCCACCAGCAGCGCAGGAGGGTCCCCCTGCTCTGCCTCCATGCCAACATCTGCAGTTTAGAACACCAGAACACAGTGTTCCTGACTAATTGTAATTTTTTACCCATTAACTAACCTCTCCCTGTGCCCTGTGCCCCGCCACCCTCTGCAGCTGCTGCAACCAGTATCTTCTCTCTCCTTCCCTGAGATCCTTTTCAGACCCCGCATGTGAGTAAGGCTTTGTCCTCCTGCGTCTCTTACCTCTCTCTGTGTCCTCCCCACCACCGTCCCTGCTGAGCAGTGAAAGGGTTCTGGCTGTGAGGCTGTTGGTGGTTGTGTCTTCCACAGAGCTGGGGAGCAGAGTGAGGACTCAGACAGGTGGAAGCCCTCAGAGCCCACTGTTGTAATGAAGACCTAGCCATTTTCTGGAATGAACGCTTCCTGATGGAAATCCTTTGGTTAATTTCCAGATTTCCCATGAAGTTGAGTTTGACCACTGTTGCTAGTGTTCTTCTATGAAGGAGTGTCTTTTCAGAGGCCTCCTCCACCATGGGGGAAATGCCTCTGCCTGTTTTTTGCACATGAAATTTTATAAAGGAAAAATATAAACGAATACCAGACTTCAATGAAGGATAATAATCAGAGAGATAAAGCACTTTACATTTCTTCCTTTCATGGAAGAAATATTTGAATGGATACTAATAAGAAAGGGAAAATAGAAAAAGGAAGTGTGGCAGTGAGCCCAGTTTGCATGGTAAGGTGTGGATCCTGCCACGCTGGCCTGACCCTACGACCTCTGGGTGGCCAGGTGGCATTTAGAGGAGGCGGGGTGGGACCTGCATGCTGAGGTTGAAGGTGGCTGCTGAATTTCTCAGTTTGCCTCCTCCAAGTCCTGAAATAGAAACTCAGTCTTCTTTCCCTTTGATGAGTGATTATTGATTTATTCTTAGTTTTAGAGATGAGAAATCTGATATTAAGAAGAATTAGGTGATTTACCCCAAGTCACCCGATTCTTAGTGGCAGAGTAGACTTTCAAAGTCCCGATTCTTTTCCATTCACCCCGCTGTGTTGTTATAGTCTTCTGTTACAGCAATAGGGGAAACATTATTAAAGTCTTTTGATTTATAATTTCATATAATACGATTACTCTCATGACTTTCTCTTATACTATGTGTGTTAGTGAACCAAGACTGAAGATTTTCCGTAAAGAAATAGTTCTATATTTTGGTGTCAAATACTATATAATGAGAAAGAGTTTCCAGATATATGACAGATGAACACATTTTGCAGAGAGGTGTTCTACAGTTTTTACGTGGGACTCCAGATCACTTGATATATGAGTATCAAGATAGATCTGAAAATGAGATTTTCCTGTTTTACAACCATGGTGTATAATTCACCTCAATATAAGGTAAGTTTATTGAAAACTACTTTTGTGTCTTCAATTTTTTTCTTTTAAACTGTATTTTTTCAAAATTTCTAAAGAATGTATTGAAAATTAAACTCATTGCCCTCATTAACTATAAACACTATAAAGCAGCTTATATTAATGTCTCCATATCGTATTTGTTAAAAATGAATAGATTATTAAAGGGCCAGGACATGTCTGAAATATATGTATTAGTTACATTTTGATATTTCTCCATAATAAATCGATAAATACCAGAAGAGAATATTATATCCAGAAACAATTTTCTGACCTGGAAACATTATTATTCATTGCAGCTTCCATTTGTATTAGCATTTTAAATGAAAAATTAGCCTGTGTAATCAGTCTGACTTTAACAAACATGTCTGGACACAGAATATTGATTCAGAATTTTGGAACATCACTTTTCATTATGTCAAGTTGTAACAAAATGCATCATGGCACAATGAGCCTGGCCTGGATCTTTGATATAGATAATTACAAGAAAAAAAGATAGGGCTCAGGATTATCAAAAGAAAATCTAAAAAGTAAAATATATGTTTAAAGGTGTCTATAGAAAATGTAGTACCTGACAGACAGACCCTCTTGTAGACATGTCAGGGTCTCTGCTTCTTAAGGATGAAAGCATGAGGTCGGAGGACAATAAGTTTGGTTCAGAAAGAATGGGTCCCCTAACACCATGACCTCCCCAACGTCTCCTGGAGTCAAACCACTTCAGAAATTGATTGTGCCTTCAGGGACAATAGGATGGTAATAGCTCCCTGAGATAGGAGATATCAAAGTTGTTCAGACATTTCCAAATGATCCAAAGTCCTCTATTTAACATCAGCTGCTGCTGTGTCTGGGCTGTGAAGTAGAATAAAGATTCAAGTGATGAGACGTGGCTGTGATTACCTCTGTAGTTATGGTGTTTCGACCTAGCCTGTTCTTGTTAATATGAGATTGTGAAGGCCCATGAGAAGGAGAGGAGTTCCTAACTTTACACTTTAGCTAATCTAAGGGCTTCTCCCACATTACTTTGTCAATTAAAAGTAACTCTAGCATTCACATTTCTTAGATATTTTCTGACATAACTTTTAATTTTCTGAATAATACTATGAGACAGACAGACAAAGAGAGATTGAAAAACCAGAAAATGACCCTGGTTAAGATTATATTATGTCCATTTGGTGTTTCTTTGAAAAACAGAATAATGAGAACTCTTACACACTGTTGATGGCAATGTAAATTAGGACAGCTGCTATAAAAAAAAAAAAAAAAACAGTGTTAAGATTTCTCAAAAAACTAAAAATAGAACTGCCGTATGAACTCAGCAATCCCACTTCTGGCAGCTATCCGAAGGATCATAAATCAGGATATCAAAGGGA